ATATAAAACTTTTCTATCATTTTCTTTTTTCCATCTCTTTTGAACTTTATTTTCTAGTTCTTCTATTTCTAATTCTATTTCTATTATTTCATTGGACTCATTAAAATTTGATGTTTCTTCTGGAACTCCTTTTAGTTTTGTTTCAATTGTTTGGTATTGTTCACTAAATCTTTCTAACTCTTTTTTAAATTGTGTTTCTGTAGAGTTGATTGTTTGTAATTCTTTAATAACTAATAACACTTTTTTTAATGCGTTTGTCAAATACTTGTACTTCTCTTTTTCAGTTATTTCATCCCTCTTTTCTTCTTCTTGAAGAATAAGTGATAATTCGTTCATTTTTTCTATACTTTTAAGTTCTTAAAAACAAAAAAAATTAAAAAAAAAAATTTTGTGTTTTACATACAAAAAAGAAAAACCAAAAAATATAAAACTCAAAATTATAAATTTATTTTCAAGATGATTTTATTCTACACTGTAGTTACACTATGTTATGCTATTCAAAATAATAATGATTTACGTCAAATTCTACAAAGGTCAGATTTTGTTATTAATTCAGCAGATAAATTTATTGATGATTTTAGAAATACATTGAAAAAATCAAATACTGCAACTGAGATGTTCACCCAAAAAGAACCACTAAAATTACATAAGAAAGAACAAATTAAACGAATTCATTCTATTCAAACAAATCCTAGTACTAGAAAGTATATTAAATCAACTCAATCACTCACTACTTCTCATGAACCAATGAAAATAACTTCATTAAATCAAAGAATTACTGAATTTCCTTATTTCACACCTATATTAAATGTTAATGAATTCACTCAAACAAAAGATAAATGTGATCCTCATGCTCCTTCTTATGGATATTATATTCCCATTGTCATTCCTCCAAAGAAAATGTTGAGGGTGTCAACTTGTAATAAAGATACAACAGTTTTTACCCCAATATCTGTCACTTATAACGAACAATGTCTTCAAGTAATTCAAAGAAAATGTAGATTGTGGAATGGAAATATTATTGAATATTTACCAAAAGGTAATAAAGGAATGGAGGCAATTGTACGTGTAGGTGCACCAAATATCAAGAATGCTACAGTAAGAATAACTGTTTATACAGTCCCAATAACAGAAAAGAATAAATTAAAGTTAGAACAAGGTCATATCATGAGAGGTAATGTCCAACAACCAACAGTAAATGTAACAACCAAAGATGGAGATCTTGTCCCAAGAATTGATTTCAAAAATAATACTCGAACAACTCATACTTCTGATAAGATTATATCTCAACCAAATCACACTATTCAATTACTAGAAAAAGATTTTCATAAAATGGGTGGTTGGTTTAAAGTGTGTATTGCCGTTTTGATTTCTGTTCTTGTATTAACAGTTGGTGTAATTATCTTTGGTTCGTTCCGTGAATCACGACTTCCTGAACAATATTCTCCATTTTAATTCTATTTTTTTTTTGTTTCATCATTTAAAAAACAAGAAAGTAAAGAAATAATTATGTTTTTATTACAATAATAGAAATAAACAATAAAAAAGAATAATCAAGAAAAAATCACCACTCTCAAACTAAAAAATGTTAAAAGAAATGAACTTATCAGGGGTGTATGGATTAAAAGAAAAACAAAAGGAAGTACTTATTAATGTCCTTGAAAGAAAAATCCGACAAAAAGAATCTACAGAAAGTAAATGGAAATTATTAGTCTTTGACAAATTTTGTTCTGAGTTAATTGAAAATCATTTTGTTGTTTCAGACCTTAGAAAGAATGGAGTTACAATGATTTTAAATATTGAAAATCAAAGACAAAAAATAGATGACGTTGATGCGATTTATATTATTCAACCAACAAAAAAGAATATTGAAATTATTTGTAAAGATATTCAAAATGAACTCTATGAATCATTTAGTTTATGTTTTAGTAATGAACTAAGTCAAAAACAAATGAAATATTTAGCAAAAGAAACAGTTCAATTAAAAAAGGTATATAAAATTAAAGATGTTATTAATGGATGTTTTAATTTCCAAGTACCTGAATACAATTTAATTAATTTTAATATGGAACACTCATACTCCCTTTTTAATAACCCAACAATTTCTGATGAAATGGGAATGAAATTAATAAATTATATTGTTGACAGTTTATTTACTATTATTTATACTATGAAAGAAATTCCTATTATTCGAACAAGAAGTTCTTCAACTGAACAAGTTATTGGTGAAAAATTAGTTAAAAAAATTAGAGAATTTATGAAAAAAGAAGAGCATTATTTTATAGAAAAAAAAGAAAGAACTTTATTTATTATTTCTAATAGAAATTATGATTTGTCACAAGGTTTAATGCATGGATGGAGTTATCAAAGTTTAATAAAAGAAACACAAAAAATGAATGGAATGAAAGTTTGTTTAAATGACACTACTGAATATATTGATAGTGATGGAGATATTTGGACACAGTGTAAAGAAGGAATTATTTCAGATGTTGCTGATACAATTATTGAAAAAACTAAACAATTAGAACAAATTAAATACATGATACAACAAGAAAATAATAGATTATTTAATAACGGAAATATACAAATTAATGAAGGATTATATACAATGAGTAAAAAATTAGAACATGAAATTGATTTACATACAACAATCGCACAAGCAGTTTTAAAAAGTATTCAAGAAAGGTCAATTGATTTACTATTTTCGTATGAAGACAATATCATGTCACATATTAAAATTGAAAAGACGGCATTACTTGAATTAATAAAAAAACTTGATAATAAAGAAGATATCATCAGATTGTATTATGTTTGTTTATTAAATAATTTTCCTGTTGATGAAATAAATCAATTAATGGCTGAAAAACAAATTGATTTAAAAGAATTAAAATATATTGAACATTTAAAACAAATGCAAGAATATCTTCATGTTTCAAAAAAAAATAATGAAAAAAGCTTTAGTGTCACTGGTATGGTTGGAACTATGTTAGGAAAAGTTGCTAAATTACTTCCTTCAGATAAAAAAGTTGCAGCAACAATTGTAGTCGACACATTATCAAATGCAAAAGGAACAGATTTAGAAAAAGAATTTGATTATTTTGATCCTATAAAATCTGAAAAATCATTTATTCCTGAAAAGAGATATAAACATACTGATGTTATTTTATTTATGCTTGGAGGTGGTAATTATATGGAATATACGAATATTAGTCAATTTGCAAAAAAATCAAATAAAAGAATTGTTTATGCAACAACTGAAATGTTAAATGGAACTGAACTTTTACATCAAATTTCTCGAATAGCATAAAACCATAGTTGGTTTTATTCTTAATTTTTTTTACTAATTCATTTACTTTTTGAAAGGAGAGACTTAATAATTTTAAAATAAAGAAATGGAAGGGGGTGGGAGTAAATTAAAAAACGTACAAATTAATTAATATTATTTTGCAAATATTGATTCAATTGGAATAATAAAACTGGGTTTTTTACTTGAGACAATAAACTAGTAATGTCGTGATTTGATAATTGGACTTTATGATTTATACAAAATATTAATGCTTCTGCGTAATCTCCAATTGCAATTAATATTTGTAATATTTGATTATTATTTTTATTCATTCTTTTTAACATATCCATTGCAAATTGATATGCAAAATCACATTTTTCTCTCATACTAACTAATTGTAATGCTACAATTTCATCATCTGGAATAATATGGTATTGAAGTAACATTAATAATCTTGAGGTTTGTCCATCATTAATTAATGATTCTATCAACCGACAATATACTGGAGGTGGTATTTTTGTTTTATTGGAACATATAAATTCAATCATAACATAACAATACACTTGTGGTTCAGGTCTCCAATCTACTAATGCAGATGATATAGCAGATGATTCTGAAGAAATGGTAAAAATATCTTTTAATGTTTCAAAATCAATATTACCTTTAGCAAAATCATTAAAAATTGATAATATTGCTTTTTGAAGAACACGTTGTGGAGCTGAGTGTCTCAGTAAAAAAGAATATCCTTCAGCTGGAAGGAGGCTTTGTGATAATAAAGCAAAGTCAGCTTTTAATGTTGTGATAGTTTGTTCATTGAAATTAATAAATTGATTATAATTAATCCTAAGATTATTTAGTGAAAAAGGAGGGAGTTTACAATAGCTATTTTATTTGCTGTATTATTTATTTCATATAATATTCCAATAGAATTAATCATAATTAATAATAAATCTCCAGTAACTGCTACTTGTGCATAACTATTAACAGGAACATGGAGTTCTAACACATGTTTTT